TACATATATGTGTATGTATATATATATATATATGCATGTGTCTATATATTTACAGATACATATATACATATATATATATATAGCATGCATACAGATCCAAAGCCGCGGTACTCGAAAAAGTTCAGTGGCTGCCAGGGTCCAGAGCTCTTCCGAAGCATGGTCGCCCTGAGCTTGCTTAAAACGGGGTTTTTGAGCAGGCGATCTTGTCCGAGATCTTCGAAGCCGTGAGAGTTCAGGGTTCGGCGCGGGCACTGCGAAGTTTCAGGGCAGGTTTTACGATGTAGTTAGAGATTTCAGTTGTTGTAGCAATTGTGCTTATTTGCACTACTTAGCTCCCGGACTGATACTGCCATGTGGTGATTCTGAAACCTCCGATTCCATTGATTCCGGCGGCCAGGCAGGAGACTTCCTTTGTGCTCTTCATCGTGGTACGTGCGCCGCGGGGAGCCCTGTGTCTGCGGTACATCGCGCGAATGACTTATTGAGATTCAAGACATTGGGTGGGTTGCCCGACGACGGCGATGATGATGATGATGATGACGATGATGATGATGATGATCATGATGATGATGATGATGCCGCTGCTGCTGCTGCTGCTGCTGCTGCTGCTTATGCTGCTGCTGATGGGCTTTGACAGACAATGTAGAAGAACAGCGATGACAAGCAGCACTGTTGCGAATACGAGCAACAAGGCACGCCCCCGCCATCTGCCCTCAACCGTAAAGCCTATGGCGTAGAAGTGAACCTAAGCATCACTCGCAACGTTAAGACAGCTCAGGCCATGCACGACTGCAGCTGCAATATGTCGCAGCTGATTGGCTTTCGGGTCGGTGCCTCAGCTTCCCGTCGGGGCCGAAACTTTTAGCAGCCGAAGGCTTAGGGAGTTGGGGGCTGCGCAGCGCCCCAACACCTAACCATTGGAACTGACCCTGAAGCTACCCTACAAGCCTCAACCCCTGAAGCCGCAGGCCTTTTTGGGCCATTGTTCGTTCGGAGGTCCTCTTTCGTATTCGTGCAGCAAAGTCTGGTGATCGTTTTGTCGACCCTGTTGCAGCTTTGTGAGGATGACGTGGTGGGCAGCTTTGCCGATGCAACCCGGCGAGCAGTCAGCTCTCTAACTGGGATGGTTTGGTTCAGGGTTTTGGGGTTCAGGAGACGAGGTGTGCGGTTCCAATGGCATAACTCTAGCTGCCGTACAACCTCGCTACGGCGAGGTATTGTCCGACGAAAGGAAGCGGAGAGTTACAGGATTCCGGCGCTCCAACACCCCATGGTGGCTCGCAACTTCTATCTTTGTGCCTAGTGGGTGTGAGCTTCGCATTGAGTCTCCTTTGATTGGTGTCACACACAGCCGCTACTCGTACAGTATCTGCTGCATACCTTGAAGTTGGTCGCCTCTGAAGGTGAAGTTCTGCATGGAATTCTGCCGGCCTCAGAAACTGCAGGCCTGCCTTGGATTTTTGCATGGTTTACGACAGAAGCAAGTCCATATGGAGACCCGTCACTGATGGTTGGCCTTCTGCTTGCTGGCACTTCTTCTTGGAGCAGCTAGAGTCACCAAAGGCACGAGAGAAAGAACGTACAACGAGAGACAAATAACTACTACTTGTAGTAGCACCAAACGCAGACAAGTGTAAATATCGATAACGACGATGTAAACAATGGGTAGGACGCTGAATGAGCCATCGACGACGACCGCGATTGCGCGCCTCCGACCCGCTACTCCTACACTACCACTACTACCGCGACTACTCTTACTCCTGCTACTCCTCGTACTACTACTACTACGACGACTACTACTACTACTACTACTACTACTACTACTACTCCTACTACTCCTACTGCTCCTACTGCTACTGCTGCTCCT